TCAGCAAAAAGTTGACTTTTCTATCAAACGGACGATATCATGTTCACCAACCGTATAAATCTGTTCTTCGAAAAAGGACTGTAGCTTTTCAAGGGTGAAACTGGCAGTTTATCGGGTCGCGAAGTCGACAAGGGTCGTAAGAGTATTCGGCGGTACATAAACGCACACAGCCTCACGAACGCTCGTACACGGTGCAGAAGGGGAAACTATTTACAGTTCCTACCTACCTATGGTACCCCATCGCTATCCAAGATCCTTCGAAAGGTCCTGAACTTGGAATTTACTTCTCATGGTGCCACCTCCGTCGGCTGTCTTGATTCCTCGTCGTTCATCTCTCATCATCCTCGCGATCTTTACGACACCTGCTTCGTGTTTATCGTCTCCGCTTCTTCGATCCATCATTCATCCAGTTCACTATGAATTTTCCTACATTTTTTCGCGATGGACCATCGCTAAGTTTTCCAACGATACGAATTCCGAATACAAACTCCATTTAAACCCTAATTAATCCCTCGTGGAAATTCAATACATTTCATTATTATTAACGGTCGTACGTTAAAATGTTTTACCAAATTTTTATTTCTTTATTAATGTTTTACCTAAAATTTTGATATTTGTAAAATTTGGAGTGAAGCTGAAACTTGAACGATTCGAGCTGTTTTCTTAGCTTTGCAGAAAACGCTGCTGTTTTGGTCTGTCGCTTTCGAAACGTTTGGTACTGTAGAATAATTTTACTTTCTGATAAAATTTACCTTGATTTCTGTATTTTTAAAAATGCAGCATTGTTTGTTTATGAATTAGGAAGAAACTGTAAGGTTATTGGGAATTCAACACACACTTAGTAAATATAAATTAAATTTTAAACAGTTGAACTTAAATTCCTCAAAAAATCGAAGGTTGATTTTTTTCTAGTTACTACAAATTTTGCTCTTTACTAAATAGACAGAACTTTACTCTTCAGTAGACAGTATTTTAATAAATATAAAGTACTTTATTAATAAATAAACATTTATTAAATATCACTTTTTACCAAACAGTAGTTCACTCTACACTAGACACAGGATGACAATTTATAAATTTTACACAGCTTAATTTGAATTCATTCGTGATAAGATAATCGAGTAGACTTCTTTCGGTACCTAATAGTCCCGTTGAATCGAGGTGCTGGTAGAAACTACCAAGAAAGCATACTCGAGACTTATGGGACGCATTTGGGAAGGGACATCATGAGGATGAGGATCAAACATTCCTCAACAATTCTAAGGATTCTATCCTGAAGCTATTGTGAGCACGTGGAACGTTTATAAATTGAAATATGAATTCCATTTCATCTCTCTCCAACTTAAATTTCTTTGATTTTTGTGCTTCTCGCTGAAATTTGAATAATTAATACCGTTTTGAAAAGCGTGCAATATGGAACAGTTTTAAAATTTGTCAAGAACAAAAATTCTTTTTTCGACAGAACTTAATGGCAAAATAGGTTTACGTTAATGGTTTTAAATGTCTTGAAATTATAATAAAAAATGTGACAAAAGTGAAAAGTGCTGAACGTAGGAAATTTCCTATTGAAGGAAATTTGTAAAGAAACCAGAGAAAATTTCATTTTTGTTATAAAAAGGGAATATTTATTTAAATCAAAATGATAGGTGAAAAAATGTCGTGCACTTTTTTCAAATTTGTCTTATGTGATCTCATTTTTCTTCGTCTGTGCATGAACACGTTGCTCACATGTGAATGTGTTGGACCTATTTTTCTCCATTATTATCACTTTAGTGTGCTTAGAATGGTAAAAGTATAATTTGTAGTTGAATGTAATATTAACAAGGAACATGTACCCAATATGGAACATGTTCCACATTACGTACACTCAACGTGCTCCATATTGCGAATCCACGTATTTCGACGAGAAAATAATAATTATCTTAAGAAGAAAATAAATTACTTTGGAAAACTCGAAAACAGGTTTAATGATAAATCGTACACAATTATAACATACTTTTGCTAAAAAATAATTAATTTGTATTTTAGAAAATTTTATGGGCTGTGAAACACACAAGAACTTCACGTTCAACATACTCTTGACTTAAGCTTCAATATTTATATGATTATATTTTTTTTATTACGAAGTATTTTACTGGTTACTACTAGTTTATTACTTATTTATTGAGATGCTGTAGTATTTCTTATTAATTATCTTATAATATATGATTGAAACAGAGTTAGCAATATTTACAATTAACGGGACATTTTTCACTCGAATAATATGAAAAATTAATTAATATTTTACTGTAACTTTCTTTCTCTTGCAATTTTTGCTGATTTTGTTACTTGAATTACAATATTACAAAAGTGTTAGGATATTATTGGAACATTTTATTTATTTTTGTGATATTACGGAATTCTTGCAATGGATGCTCAAATTTTAAATCATGCGTGGAAATTATAATAATTAGAACACAGCGTTGAAAATATTTTTGGAGGATTAAATATATATATTTAATAATTTTCAGACGCCCAAATTTTTTAATTAGCAAATTCTAAAATTTATAGAAGTACAAGTTCCCAAATTCCCAAATGTTCAAAAATAATTGATTGATACTTACTTCAACTGAAAATAAAAAATTTCAATGTAAAAAATGTGTATACATTGTACAAAACATTACGTACTTCAATTTAAGAATGTAAATACTAAATAATGTTTAAAAACAATTTTTCGTTGTATTGCACTAATAACTCCCATTAGAAAAAATAACCGAAACAAAATATCAATATTTAACTCACATACTCCATTTCCATGGTTAAACATTATATTAAACAATCATCCGACTCCAATTTCAATTAAAAGATATTTATGAATCAGCAATTTATTTATTCACACTAAATTTTACCCCGAATAACTTACAAAAATAATTAACGTACCGAATAATTGAGAATTTCAATAATTATATAAAACTAACAAACGAAATGAAACTCTATTTAAAAGAAAATCCTACTTCCGTTAAAACTATCCGACAATTCCTCGTCATTCCGTAATTCGTCATCATATTACACCCTCCGAGAAACCTACGAAAAACGTCAGGACCTATAAATAAGTTTTCATTCACCGACGAAAATTATTCTCGGTAACGTAATTTCATTCAAAACATCTGAAGCTTATTTCCAGCAAATCCTCCGTGACCGTAACACCAACCATATGCACATAAAAAATACAAACCCAATCGAGCACAATGTCCACACGCATCGCTAAAAAAATCATCGTCACAAATTCCGATATCGAAAATAAGAAACATATGATCACTCATTGAACCGTTTTTCAAATCCCCTCGACTTATCCTCCGAATCAGAGGCCATACATCGCGAGCAGCAAGGTGGACACGATAGAGCGAATCCCCCAAAGACAGAGAAGCCGAAGGAAACGCGAGTTAGGGCAACAAGAAGGAGCGCGTCTCGCACGGCACAGTAGATTTCTCTTCGGAAAGGAAGGAAAGGGGTAGTTGGCGGTCTGCGAATGTTGGTTGGAGCGGCAGGACACACGGCAAGGGGTGGTGGTAAGGTTTGCCTGCGGGGTGGTAAGGTGACGAAGAGGAGAAAGCAAGCACATCAGCTAAGGGGCGGGGGGTTAGGTGGGCAGCAAGATGGGAGGGGAGGTTCGTTAGTTAGTGCGCGAGCGAGTAAGCGAGGCGCGTGTATCGTGCCGGGAAAAGAGAGACACGGAACGGGGTCCGCGTCGGGTAGGCGAGGGGT